AATTTGAGCTTGATTTTCCTATATCCCCCATCTGATGTTGTCTTTGCAGAGATTTTTTTGTTTGTTTTTGTTTTTCGAGACAGGGTTTCTCTGTAACTTTGGAGCCTGTCCTGGAATCTAGTTCTTGTAGACCACGCTAGCCTCGAACTCACAGAGATCCACCTGCCTTTGCCTTCCGAGAGCTGGGGTTAAATGCATGCACTACCACAGTCTGGTTTGCGGAGGTTTTTACAAGTCTGATATACTCTGAATAGCTTCCCCATATAGGATTCTTAAGTAAGGGACAGTAAGGCTTGACCCAGCTGAAGCTCTGCAAATGGCTTGGGTTTGGTGGAATAGCATAGTCTAAGGAAGGCACTGACTATCTGACGGTCTCTGTAAACTCATGAGTTTTAAACCCGTAAACTCATGAGTTTTAAACCCGTGAGGTTAATTCTGAATCAAATTGCTACAAGATAAACATTTAAGTGTGTGTGTGTGTGTGTGTGTGTGTGTGTGTGTGTTGAGATCAGAAATATATTAGAGATATCAGAAACTAAATTATTGGTCCACTATTGAGGCCCAGGAAAATGTTAACCACTTACATATCTGAGACACTTATCTGCTAGGCATTAGTGGGTGGGGAAAGGAAAACAGAGGGTCTAAACCCTGCTATCTGGGACCTTTTGCTAACTTGACCTCCCATAGCGTTCCTTAGAGGACGGGTGACATGGAAAGGACAGAGAAGCTCGAATTTGTTCCAAGCCCATCCGGTACAAAATAAAGCTCATTGCTGACACAGGAAATGAATGGGGTTCCCTGGGACAGGAAGGGAGGCTGCATCTCTTAATCACACATAGGGACCAGGCCAAAGTCTGCCAATGCCACGCTTAAGTAATTGCTAGGATAATTTCCCCAAATTTTATGGTGAATGTTTCTTTGATTGACTCTTGGCAGCATGTAAGAGCAGGTTGAGGAACTAAGGTTCAGCCAAGCGAACAATGGTCTAGAAATCATCCTACGAAAAGGCTATATTAGGGGCCACAGACTCAGCCAGAGGACTGACTTTGGCCCACAGATATTTCTGGCTCAGTGCTAGTTGGCGGTGTTTTCAATATTTTTCAATTAATTGCCAACATTCAGCTCTTGGAAAAGTTTACATAAAAACTCTGATTTTTGTTATGAAATATAGCGTGCGTGTGTGTGTGTGTGTGTGTGTGTGTGTTTCTAGGATTGAACCTAGGGCCTCATACATGCTAGGCAAGAGCTCTACCCACCATTCCTCAATACATGCTTCGTTTATTTTTGAGACAGAATCTTATGTAGAACAGGCTGGCCTAGAATTCGCTATGTATTATTGGATGAGGTTGCTCTCAAGCACATTTTGTAGCCTAGGAGGACCTTAGATCTGCGATCTTCCTGCCTTCTCCTCTCAAGTGCTAGGATTACAGGGGAGAGCCACTATGCGTATGTGTTTATGCAAGGTTGGGGATCAAACCCAGGGCTTCCTGCACGCTCACCAAGCGCTCTGCTGAGTTTCATGCTCAGCCCATCTTCTATTTCTGACACACGCATGGTGAACTTAGTGAACATTTGCTGGTAAGGCCGTTCCTTAAGAAGCAATGGAGTGGGGGGGGGGGGGGGGAGAGGCAGTGAGGTCACCAGTAGGAAAGGTGTTTGCTGCCAAACGTGATGACCTGAGTTTTGTTCCTGGGACCCACATGGTGGGAGGAGAGAACTGATTCCCAGAAGTTGTCCTCTGACCTCCATACCTGTGCTGTGACACTTCTAAGTGCACTTCTACACGCTCTTCTACATGCGTGCACACACACACACACACACACACACACACAGATGCACAAAATAATGTAATAACAACAACAAGAAAAGAAATTATGGGTCAGCGTGGGAAGATGAAATGATATCCATAAGAAACTGTGGGAAGACAGAAGCAGATTCGAGCACGCGTGTTTTCTTCCCTCCGGCCCTTCTCCATTGATCGACCGATCAATGCTGAGAACTTAGACGGAATTTATAAACTGAGAGAAACACAAATCTTGATTTAAAATGGACTCTTTTTCCTAGATCCAGATTAAGAAGACACACAGTTTGTTTGTTTGTTCGGTGACTGTTGTGGTTCGCTTGCTGGGCCAAACAGAAGCTTCCTTTTACATCAGGCTAGGGACGAGCCACACACCTAGTCAACCTGAGAGCTAATGAAAGGGAAGAAGGGGAGAGAAAGGAGAATGATGGAGACATTCTACGAGCAAAGAAAATCAGCCAGCAAGGAGAGGTAGGCCCTCTGGGAATGGTCACATTTTGTTGGTATGAAGAGATATGCAGACCCATGAGGGTTAGACATAGGGAGCCCAGCTCCTCTGTTGTAAAGATACAAGTGAACAACGCTGAAAGCTAGAGAGGAGAAAGAGGCAGCCATTGGCTTACTTCCCCCAGTCTTTCCTCCTCCACCCCTCACCTGGAAGGTCCTTTCTCCTAGCTCTGCCTGTCTAAATCTTTCAGTCTCAGATCTGATGAAAGCTTCCAGGCTCTCATGATTTCCCCAGATCCCTCCTCCCCTCCTCCCTCCTCCCTCCATCCCTCCTCCCCAGATCCCTCCTTTAGCACAGCTGCTGTATGCCTCACAAGTCCCACTAGACTGAGCATATTGTCCTGAAAGAATCTTGCATGTGTGTATTATAAAACCCCTTGTAAACTCCTCGAGAACAAGGGCCGTTTCTTCTGTTCCTGCTTCATCTCCCATAGTGCTGATGGCCTAAGAGACCCTCTGTAGGGCCCTGCTGCCTCCCAGACTGGAGAGTTCAGTTCAGCTCTCAAGCTCTTGCCAGCAACGCAAAGGGTACACAATAAAGCCCTTTCACTATTAAGCAACTGATTCAAAGATAGAAGGGCTGAGAAAGTACACACACAGAATCATGCATTGTCTCAAATCTCTCCTGGGAGCCAGAGCCTGGAATCCTCAGGTTAGATGCGGAAGTAACTTTGATATACTGTATGTGATGGCACGTCTCAAGTTAGCATTTCATTCCGAAGAAATGTATAAACTAGTTGATAAAAACATGGAAGCGGGAATGTTCCTCAGCTTTTGTTTAGCGGGCCCGGGGTCTGGAGTCCTGGAGTAGTGAAGAGCTGGGGTCCTAGGTCAGCACTACAAAAGCAATAACAAATAATAGGAGTTTGGGTTACTTTAAAGGATCGAAGGAGGTAAAGATTTTCTCGTATGCCATTAATTGGTATTTCCTACAGCCCTCCCCTATCACGCTTCATAGTCAAGAGTTCATGGTGGGGGGGAGATATTGTTTTTCATATTTTAATGCTGATAGTGCTACCAGAAGAGAAAATGTGTGTGGTGGTAGGGGGAGGGGTTGTCTCACACTGCCTTTATTTGCTTCCCTCCATCCCCACTCCTTTCTTCCCTCCCCTTCCCACCTTTCTTTCTAGCCAGGGCCTCAATATGCAGCCCTAGCTGGCCTTGAGCTCACAAAGCATTGCCTGCCTCTGCCTCTCAAATGCTAGAATTACAGACATGAGCCACCATGCCCAGCCATCTGCCATTATTTCCATTGCTGACTGTTTCAGTGCTTTTTAGGGTATAAATAGCAATCAGTATTTAGGAAAAAGAGCTAGATTCACACCTCTTTTGTATTCTGAGTTTCTCCTTTTCTACGGCTATTTTGGGTATCAAGTGTACTTATAGAATTCCATCTTCTGACACATACAGACTTTAACTACTCCTCAATGCCTAAATCTTTTTTAAACTAATTTTTAAAAATTTATTTTATATTCCAACCCCTGTTCTCCCTCCCACCCTAATGCCCAAATCTTTAAAGCATTACATACATGGAAGAGAACTCATGAGGACTGTTAGCCAGCCTTGGGAAACTCTGGAGTTGTATCCTAGGAATCTAAACGTGTTCACACCCAGAAGTGTAGTGTGATGGGGTTGGGTTGGCTTTTTATTTTTTGTAATGGTCATGTGATATCCCTTTATAGTTCCCTGTGGGCTGTAGTTAAGGAACTTTCTGTAGAACAAAACTGAACATGGAGACATGCACATACATATACATATAGACATAGACACAGATACACACATACACACTCACACATACACACATCACCTGGGAGGTTTATTAAACAAACAGGAATCTCCTTTGGGTTTCAGTAAGAAACTTGTATATCTTGTGAAAGATTCTGCGTCTTTTATACTTCTACTCTAGTAAATTTACAGGTCTGACATGTATATAGGATGTGACCTTCCAGGTGTGTGGAGAAATACACTCAGTCATTTAGTGTGGAACTAGCATTCTTTAATCCTGTGTAAACAGTGCACAAGGAGAAACCCAGTAGCAAGCCGAGCCTGGTGGCACAGTTCTGTAATCCCACCTATTAGGGAGACCGAGACAAAAATGTGTCTGGATTACAGAGTGAGGTCAACAGTGCCAGCCTAGACAACTGGGTAAACACTGTCTCCAAACTTCAGAAGAGTTAAAAAGGGTCAGGTATGGTGGCTGCATGCCTTTAATACTAGCACTTGGAAGACAGAGGCGGGTGAATCTCTTGAGGCTAGCCAAGTCTACATAGAGAATTCCAGACCAGGATTATGTAGTTAAGTGTTGTGTGATATTTTTTTTTTTTTACTCTTTTGGGGGTCTCACCACCCAGCTCCCAAATAAATCACATACAGAGGCTTATTCTTAGTTATGAATGCCCAGCCTTAACTTGACTTGTTTCTTGCCAGTTTTTCTTAATTTATCCCGACTACCTTTTGCCTCTGGGCTTTTATCTTTCTCTATTTCTGTGTACTTTTCTTTACTTCTTTCTTCATGGCTTGCTGTGTAGCTGGGTTGTTGGCTCCTGATGTCCTTCCTCCTTATTCTCTTGCTTCTTTTACTGCTTCTCCTCCTCCTCCTCTTTTCTCTTATTTATACTCTCTGCCCTGCCTATCCTTGCTTCTGCCTTGCCATTGGCTGTTCAGCTCTTTCTTAGACCATCAGGAGTTTTAGACAGGCACAGTAACACAGGCTTTACAGGGTTAAACAAATGCAGCATAAACAAAAGTCATACACCTTAAAATAATAGTCCCCAACAGTTAAAATCCCCTTTTACACACCATCACACATAGAGTAAAAGCAGGGCTAGGTTAGCTTAGTGGTAGAGAACTGCCTTCTAACATATGAGGGCCCATATTCAATCTCTAGTAACTTCCCCTCTCCCCCACTGAAAAAGGAACTAGAGTAATCGAACATGGTAGCACATTTCTGTAGTGCCATATTCTGGAGGCTGAGGCATGAGGATTGCAAGTTCACATTCGGGCTGACCTATATAGTAAATTCCAGTCCAGGTTGGACCACATAGCAAGACCGGGTCTCAAAAATAATAAATTGGGTATGGTGACTCACGCCTTTAATCCCAGCACTTGGGAGGCAGAGGTAGGTGGATCTCCGTGAGTTTGAAGCCAGCCTGGTCTACATAGTGAGTTCCAGGACATCCAGGGCTAAGTAGAGAGACCTTATCTAAGATGATGACGATAATAATAACAATAATAGTAAAGCTGATTGATAAATAGTTTAACTTTGCGAACACAGTGAGGACATTGTACCAATGGAAGAGACAGAGTGTGGCCTGCCCACACTCTAAGAGCAAGAGAAGCATTCAGCCCAGATAGGATCAGTTTTAGCCCCCCCCCCCCCCACTGGTGCTGAAAGACAATCTTCTCAGTAATTTGCCCAGCTAGAAAGATCTGGGTCAGCTCCGAAGGGCCCTTCTTCGATTCTTTTTTCTCGGGCAGTCCGCAGATCTCTGAAAAATGGCGAGCGACTTTTGTGTGTGGGGAGTTGTACAGCAGGACTCTTTAGCCAGGGACTCGGCACACGGGGCAGCACATTCTGCAGAGAAATATTAACATACAGTCTCTAGTGAGAAAACAGCTCAATCTAACCCAGGTTATTAGAGTAGCTAGAAGCTATTAAATTCAATAAGAAGTTAGCAGCCCGTCTCCCTTGACTCTGACCAGCCTAATGTGGAGAAGAGGCCTCAATTGCTCAGTAACAAAGTTGGACTTTTTGCATGCTGACTTGAAGGACTAGCTTGTTTATCATTCTGTTTGATCCCTGGTACCCACATGGGAAAGAGAGAACTGAATCTTGCAAGTTGCCCTCTGACTTCTCCAAGCCTGCTCATCCTGGCTAGTTTTATGTCAATTTGACACAAGCTAGCCATCTGAGAAGAGAATATCAATGGAGGAAATGCCTTTATAAGATTGGACTGTTGCTCAATGCACAGTTTTGAACTATAAGCAACGAGCATTCATATATTTGTACACATAAGAATTCTATTTGAAGCAGGGTTTCATTATTTTGTCCAGGAAGGTCTGGAACCTGTGGACTCATGTGATCCTCTTTCTTCAGCCTCCCGGGTAATTGAAACTACAGGTGCACACCATAGAAATGAAGTTTTACATTTTTATTCTTTAACTTGCTTAAGATATGTTTTATCATGCATGTGTCTGTGTGACTGTGCGTATGTATGTGCACCCGTGTGCAGGTGCCTCTGGAGGCCAGAAGAGGGGGTCAGATCTGCTGGAGCTGGAGTCACAGGCAGTTGTGAGCCACTTATGTGAATGCTGGGAACCAAGCTCCGGGCCCCTAAAAGAGCAGCACTCATTCTTAACTGTGGAGCCATCTCGCCAGCCCTGGGTGAATGTTTGGGAAAGATGTCTTTACTGGAAGTAGAAGCACTTGATGAAACAGTGTTGAGTTTTGATAATGGTGGCTTATCCTCCAAAGTTTATATTAGGATTTAACAATAATAATCACTGTTAGATTATCATGATAAAATGGCTCCCCCTATTCTTCCATATTATGCATAGATGTAAGTAGGAACACATAAATATATACATATATACTGGCACATGTGAGCCCTAGACAAATTCTGATAAAAGTCTTATTTTGTCTGACTTCCCTCTTCCTAGTCCCACTCATAAAAATACTACAGAGCCAAGTGTGGTGGCTCTTGCCTGTAGTCTCAGCACTGAGAAGGCTGAGTGAGGAACGCCATGAATTTGAGGCCAGCCTGGCTACATAATGAGTTCCAAGTCAATCTGGACTATAGAGTAAGAGCCCGTCTCACAGCAACAACCTCCCCAATATACTAAGGACATTATTTCAAGTCGCTCAACGATATACACCTATGGAAATAGTTATTAATAGCTGCTTCTGTAGTGAGAACTAAGGCCACAGGAAAAGTGATGAAATGCAAGATAAGTCAGGTCGCCAAAGGCAACTCCCAGCTACAGGGGAAATGAGAAGACAGAGATAGCAGCAAAACTCTTTATTTAAGGAAATCACAACGCGTTCAGAAAAGAAAAGGATGAGGTCACAGGAAGGGCTGGGAGGAGAAGATATTTGTACGGCGTGTGGAAATGACAAACTGCGTCTTCCAGTCGTTAAACACAGGCTCCTCAGCTACGGAGCGGAGAAGCCCAGAAGATCCCCAGGTTCGCTTCAGCTTTGCCCTTTGTCACCTGGAAAGCATTCTATTTGAAAAGAGAATCCAATTTCCAGTGCCATATATGATCTGCACTTTGTCTGCATCTATCCCGGGGACCTAATACCAGGATGCTTCCAGCACACTCTGCCTTTATGTCACTTAGGAAAGAAGCTCCCAGGACTGGGAGAGTGTGGCTCAGCTGGCAGAGCACCTGTTGTACAGGTTTGAAGGCTTGAGTTTGAATCCTCAGCACCCATGGGACAAGCCAGGCTAGTAGGCCCAGCACTGGGGAGGCAAAGACAGGAGGACCTCTGGAGCTTACTATCCAGCCTGTCTTCCTGACCCCTGATCTCCAGTTTCAGTGAGACATCATATCTCAAAATAGCAAAATGATGACAAAGGGTGACACCTGACATTGACCCCTGGCCTCCACACACATGTGTGAGTACACACGCGCGTGCGCGCGCGCGCACACACACACCCACCCACACACACTTTAAAATGGAAGAAGGAACCCAGAGAGATGGCTCAGCCATTAAAAGCACTAGCTGCTCTTTCAGAGTACACAGGTTTCATTCCCAGAATCCTGGCTATAACTTGAAAGTCCACAACTAGCTATAATTCCCGTTCCAAGGGGGGTCTGATGCCCTCATCTAGGCATATGAGGTGCAGACTTACATTCAGGCAAAACATCCATACACATGAAATAAATCCCAAAAATATTTTAAATTAAATTTAAAAAGCAATAACAATGGTTGTTTAAAAGTGAAGGCTATTCCTCCTGAGGCCCCTTCTTCCAGGCCCCCTGCAGTCTTCTACTAGGGCACAGAACTTGGTAGGGCCCTGGCTGCTTTAAGTCCCCACTGCTCTGTGCTGAGCGGGACCCTTCCCAGCCTCTCGCGATGGCCCCGTCGGATAGAGCAGTCCCTTCACAACCACTCACGACGGCCCCGCCTGATATAGTCCTCTGTGAGTTTTGTCGCAGTAACTTTCCTGTCTGTGACAAAAAATACCTGAAAAGCAACTTTCGGGAGGTGGAGTTTTGACGTGGACTTACAACCCACCCTGGTAGGGTAGGCGTGGTTGCAAGAGCAGGAAGCAGCCAATCACACTTCCTCCCAGTCAGGAAGCAGGGACTAACAGGGGAGCTGTGCAGAGCAATCGTTTACCCAGTCCAGGTTCCCATCCATGCTATGGTGCTGCCCACAATTAGAGGGGGTCTTCCTACTTCAACTTCATCTAAATAATCACCCAATCTGTGCCCAGGGGTTTGCCTCTTTAGTGATTGTAGATCCTGCCGAGTTGAAATGTTAACCATCACACGTGCTGGTCAATTCACTTAAGCTTCCATGGGGCGTATGTAGAAATCATTTAAACTACCTAACTCCTGCTGCCATCCTGCCCCAATCAGGAACTCTATTCTAGCAGGCATGGTGGTACACACACACATGTACCCCTGCCCCCACCAAGAAGGCATGCAGAAGCAGAGTCTGCTGGGGTCTGGAGAGATAGTTCCTTGGTTAGAGAGTGTTTACTGCTCGATCAGAGGACCAGAGAAAGGATTCCACAAACAACTGTAACTCCAGTTCCAAGGGATCTGGCACTCCCTTCTGGTCTCTGTGGACACACACACACACACACACACACACACACACACACACACACTTACAAAAAGCCAGAATCTTGAAAAAGAGGAGAGAAACAGAAACAACCTACTGGACATACTTGTCATCTCAGATTAAGGCAAGAAGACCTGGGGGTGGGGCGGCGTGTTGGAGAGGTTAGGAGCACTGGCGGCTCTTCCAGAGATCTTGAGTTCAATTGTCAGCAACCCTACAGCAACCCCACGCTGGCTCACAACCATCTAGGATAAAATCTGGTGCCCTCTTCTGGCATTCAGGCAAACATACAGGTGGAACACTGTATACATAATAAATAAATAGAAGAAGAAAGAAGGAGGAGGAGGAAGAGGAAGAGTAGGAGGAGGAGGAGGAGAAGGAGGAGGAGAAGAGGAGAAGAAGGAGGAAAAGAAGGAGGAGGAGGAGGAGGAGGAGGAGGAGGAGGAGGAGGAGGAGGAGGAGAAGAAGAAGAAGAAGAAGAAGAAGAAGAAGAAGAAGAAGAAGAAGAAGAAGAAGAAGAAGAAGAAGAGAAGAAGAAGAGAAGAAGAAGACCTGGAGTTTGAGGCCAGGCTGGATTAAGTAGCAAAACACTGACAAACTTCCTTTTCAGAGAAAGAATATTAATCACAAGGGTCTCACCTTGTAACCTCAGCTTTCCAAGTGCTGGGATTACAGACCTTGAAAAGGCTGGAGAGGGGGAGGGGGCAGACCCGAGCTCTGACAAGAGGTCAGACCTTAATTTCACTTCACTAGAATGGGACAGAGCTGAACAAGTATGTCTCATGAAAACCACAACTTATGGGTGACCATCAGCAAGCACTCTCACAACCCCTTCTGCTGGCTCAGTAGTCCCCAAAAGCCCTTCTGCTAACTCAGCAGATGTCCCCCCCACCCAGACTTCTACATGCTAAAGATAGCTTTCCCTACCCTGCTGCAGGAAGGTCCCTAACCACTAGAACCTCCCACCAACTAGCCCCCAGACTAATCTTTCCTCCACCAATCAGCCTCAGATGAATCCCTCCTGTCTGGGATTTCCCTAACTCCGCTTAAAAGAAGCTTGTGGCCTTCTTTAGGGGTCACCAAGGGCCACCCCAACGTTGAAATCAATAAAATACTCTTGTTATTGCATTCGTGGTTGAAGGTCGTCTTTGGGGGCTTCTCTCCGTCCCTAACAGCATGAACCTCCATATCCAGCAAGGATTTGTAATTGAGGAAGGAGAAAGGGAAATGAAATGGAGAAAGGCTTAACAATGAAGAAGTTAGTTTTTTTTTTCCTGCCCCCCTCCCCCCAACCTCTCCTCCCTCCCGCCCACATCCCCGAGGGATTTCTCTGTGTAGTAGCTCTGGCTGTCCTGGAACTCACTCTGTAGACCAGGCTGGCTTCGAACTGACAGAGATCTGCCTGCCTCTGCCTCTCGAGTGCTGGGATTAAAGGCATGTGCTAGCACCGCCTGGCCAACAATGAAATTTCCCGCAGTGAAGAGAACCAGTAAGAACTGTGTGATTCACACAGAATATCAAACTTTGCCTTCATTCATTCTACCAGGAAACGACTGAAGGAACAAAAAATTCCTGCGACAAAATCGACTGGAGGAAGCAGGGCGTGGCGGCGCACTGCCAGGTAGAGGCAGGCAGATCTCTGTGAGCTCCACGAGGTCTACCAGAGCAAGTTCTCGGACTACGTAGAGAGACCATGTGCCAAAAATCAAACGAACAAAAAGGAGGAAAGAAGTTGTTTTCTTCTGGAATGCCTCGTGCCTTGTTTTCTTAAACTGCTCGGTCAGCAAGGAGTCTTTATCTGGTAGGGATTTTTAAGCCTTCCCATCTCGTACCACGTAGTTAAAAGAAGGTGGCAAATCGTGTCAGCCAAAGTACCGGGAGGACGGTGGGCGTGGCTTATTAGGGGCGGCAGGAGGGGACGCCCCCTTCCCAGCAAGCACGGCGGCTGCAGGAGCGCGGCTCCGGCCGGCTTTCTCCGGTTCTGTACCGCCCCGCC